CCCCGGCTATCGATAAAATCGTCTTTTCCGGTCAGCCTTCAATATCCGGAATACATCGAACGCTACTTCCTCGAAAATGTCCAGATTAAACCTCCTTAATTATCGACGACGTCGATCGATCGCGCGGTCATTAATAACGTTAGATGCGGTTCGCGATAAGTCAGTCGAAGGGGGATCGACTTTTTTACCCCTCCGATGGGACGGTAACGACCGCTAAGACGTTGCCGCAATTAATCTTACCGCTCTCTCGCACAGCAACATTCTAATTTCACGGCGAGAGAAAGGGGCAGCAGGAGCGGAGGGGGAAGGGGAGGCCCGCGGGGGGATGTTCCCGCGAAGTCCGTGCAAAATCGCGTAGCTGCAAATAATCCGTATTAGGCCCGCGAAATGGAATTATAAGCGGTCGCCTTCGAAGAAAGGGGAGAAGAAGTTGGCCGTACGCGCGCGAGGACTTGCTTGCTCGCGAGTCTATAGTCGGCCGGTGCCAAACTTCCGCTTCCCAATTAACGTAAGGATGCGAGTTTCACGACAAAGCCGCGATCCGACGGCACCTCCGTCCGTCGGCTTTAGGGCTCCCGGAGACAATATCAACATTGTCGACGACGAGCGACGGTACGACAACCAAGACGATGACGACGACGAGGCAGACGAAGAGGCGGAAGACGATGTACGGCGGCGCGATATGGACAAAAGCAGCTCGTGATTTGTTAACGGAGGAGGGCAGAGAGAGAGAGAGAGAGAGGGGGGGAGAGATACGAGGACTGTGGCCCGGTCTGGAGAAGCCGGCGAGTTTCGTTATCGATCCCTTGCGCGGAAACTAGCACGGCATTTGATCAATATGAGCCGCTCTCCGCGTCGCCTCCCCTGACAAATTCGGCCGCCGGTTTTTATTATTACTGCGAACGTGCGGGAAAAGCACGAGGACGGTCGGTGGTTGGCTGGCTGGTCCGTTTATCTTACGGCGGCGGATTCGGGCTACGACGATACGAGAGCGGCAATTTCATTAGTTTTAATAAAGTTTTATGAAGTTCGGGAGATTGGGAGATAAGAAAAGATACAGAGGGAAAGAGAGAGAGTGTGTGTGTGTGTGTGTTTCTATTTTCGATGAAAAGTAAAGTTGAAATCATGAACATAATAATATTTGCATACGTAATAATAATACGCTCGGGAAACGGAATCTCCGTATTCCGGGCTTAATATCCGTAAGGGGCATGCATGACAGTAACGAAGAGAAGAAGGACGTAGAGTTTCAGTCCTATATCGGGCTGTTTACCACGCAGGATACGTCAGCCCCGAGGGAGTGTTTTATATCTGATAACAAAATTTTCCTATCGCGACAAAGACGGCACACGTTCGACGACCCAGTTTGCGCTCGGATGAAATCTAAATAATAGAATATAGCCGGATAATGTGTCTCGTTTATAAGCGTATGGGAGGAAGACGCGCCGCGTAAAACGCGGCCTCGTTCGTCTCATAGGAGGAGAGCTCCAACGTCGCGGAAATCGAGCTAAGCATATTAGCAAGTATAATCCGACGTGGCCCCGTTTAATGTCATCGTTTAAACCCAATTACGCGCGGGAAAACTTCCCGGCGACACCTCGAGCCCCCGTGAAGATGTTTCCCCGCGGAAAATCGTTATTCTACGCCGCTTATCGTCACACACGGGGGACTCGACTTCCTCCCGATCGCGCCCGATCACGACGGGATTACCGAGCGACGCAGCTTGCTCGGAATCGCGCCCCGGCACTTGTCGACCCGCATGGAAAACCCGCCGAAACCAACGATGTGCGGTACCGGACGGAGCATGGAACCGAAATATATCGACAGGCGTAGAAAGAGACAAGAAGATGCGCGGGTAGTAGAGATCCATGTAGACCGGAGCTGTGAGGCATTTGAGAAATTTTATTATGAGTCGACATATCTGTGTTCAACACGTTTCTTTTGCATAACAAGCAAGTAGGAACTATACTTCATAATTATTTATTATTTATATATGTAGTTTTGATGCGCGATATTTACATAAAACGTTACACACTTACAGATTGCAACGCACGTTAACGATATTCCCAAACTTATACGCCGAGAAAAAATATTAGAATCAAATAAACGTGATTGCATCCATTTTACACCGTCTTGTAAGCCGACTAATTTTTTTTTATCAATTTAAGCATATTTTAAGAACTTGTAAGAAAAGGAGTAGGTGCTTATTCGAACGCGATAATATTTTAATTTGTAAATGAATTACCGAACGTAAGTGTAAAATCGCTCTAAATACGAGAGAATATTTACTGGGATTATGCAATACTTCTTCACCGTCGTAGGAACCCAGTTGATTTCCTAGATTTTCCCCTCCGGTGAATAGGTTCTAAAAATAAATTCTGACATTCTCGATATTACGAATTTACCGCTTGTCGCGTTTTAATACATACAAGTGAACGTCTGCTTTCTAACGAAGGAAATATCATATTGCACATAGTTAATTATATCTCTACTTCTGAATATTGCCGAGGAGTAGCCATTTATCTCGGATCAAGTGAATGTTACTTGAACGCTAGCGCTTTGTTTCAGTACAAGACAAAATTCAACCAATGAAAGGACAGCAAAATTAGATACCCGTGCCCATACCCTTACTTCTCTCTCTAGATCCGTCGACACGAAAGATCAAAGAAATCTTGTTTATGAAGAAATCATGTCCGATGCTACAAGTCGATGGCCGAAACGAGCCCGCGCACGGTCGAGTCTGCCGCGGCAGGCAGCTTCCGTACGCGTGCGGTGCGCAATATGGGGATCTCGAGGAGAGACGTTTGTTAAATGACTCGGCGCTCCACGGCGGACGGATGATAGATGAGGGACGCGGCCGGTTCTTCGGCGCGCACGGTAACGCGGAAAAACGGCGGCGCCCTTACGCGGAATCCAATAAAACGAGAGCCGGCGGTGCCGCGGCCATACAACTTCGATCGGGACGGAAATAAAGGATCTGGATAAAACCACCTTTGACAAGCGGGTAAGCTGAGCGACGCGAGTCAGCCGGCCGCCCCGTGGCGGCCGACGATCACTTTTACCGCCGGCCGTATCCGTCGACGACGACGATCCAAGCCGTCGAGTCGACTCTTCTCGGGTCTCCGCGCGTTCTCTCGCGGTGTGTGTGTGTGTGTACTCGAACGAGAGAGCGATCACTTAATTTCAGTTTTATCGGCCGATCCGTATCGCGACGTTTTACCGTTCCTGCGCTCGCGGATGGGCGATACAGAGGAAGCGGCCTCGCGATAGCGGCCCATATTAATTTTACGACGCTAAAAGCCGCGCTGTAACGACGTTACAGCGATAGAGAACCCCGCATGTTTCACTAATATCCCCGCGATTTCAATATCCATCGACTGCTTCCTGGTCGTTCCCTATACGCGATAAACATCTTATTTGCGTAATTGTCTACAATTATGAATATAATAGAAGAAAAGGGACCAAATCGACGCGTAATCTTGGATTACTACACTGTTGAAGGGGTAAAAGTAACATTTATGTACGTGGATGCAAACCAGCAACACTTTTCCACCGAAATATATCTTTTAAAAGGTATCATATATTTCCTTGCAAATAATCATTTCTTAAGACGTTTGCCGACTGACGCTTCTAAAAATTAGGCCCCAAAAACGATATATCCGTGATGTCTGAGGGAAATGATCAAGGAATCGAATGAAAGCATTGAAATTGCATGATTTTGTACATTTATTATATATCCTTACATATTATCTTTAACATTACACAATGCATCATAGTTAATGGCGGGAACCAAGGATGACTGTGCCTTCCTACACATTACTTCAGAGAAAGAAGGGTATGTCGATTTACCATACCTATGTCAGTCTCGGCGTTTCTCTACCGCGTTATCGTGGCCTAGCCGATCACTTTGCTCCTCACTTCGCCGTCAACGTCGCGGCGACGACGACCTTATCGGTGCCTCCGATTTTCCCCCTGGACTCCGTGGATTTCCTATATTTTGGAAACCGTGACCACCCTCCCCCTCCCCCGTGGACGCGCGCGCATCAATAATACGAAGTGATTTCTTGCTCACGCGGAACGGTCGAATTGCGCGCGGGCACGTACGAAGGCGCGGCGGCAAAATCGAGAAGAAATTCGCAAGCCGTCGTCGGGATCTCCCGTCCCGCGACGGACACACGGGTGCCACGAGTGCGAGCCAACCCGCAGGAATACAATCAACGACGTCCATTCCCGCGAATTAGATTTCCGTCTACGTCAACGGCCGCCGCCCTATTGCCTCCGCAGCTCCCAGCCGCCCCCTCTTTGTTTCGCCGCGCATGAAAGAGCACGTCGGTGAAAAGTGGGAGAGGAAATGGCGCGCGCCTAGCCCGCCCACACCCCCGTCGACAGGGCGGTGGCAAGACTGGAGAGCAATTCTCTTGACAATTTGGCCTGGCGGCTCGCCAGCCGAGACCAGTCGATTCAACTAATCTAAGTTGCTTAGCACGACTTCGTTCGACTCGCCTCACCGCCGTCGCCGCCGCCAACACCACCCTCGTGGCCGCCCCCCCCCCACGAAGACTTCGACTTAGCTCCCCGCCGTCGAAACCACTTCTGCCGCCGGCGGCGTTCTACCCGTCTTCCCTTCGGCGTCGAGGGGGCGCGTGAGCGGAGTAGCGCGGATTTTTACGCGCTTTCGCTTTAACTACGCCGCGTTTCCAGTCGGCTACTTGTAGCGAGAGCTGTTTCATAGGAGTTGGGCACGCGGGGACTTCGTGGCGGAACATTCGCGAGAGACATAAAACGAAACGCGCGTCGTTCGCTCTCTCTCTCTCTCTTTTTTTTTGTTTTATTGCACGCGATGTTCGCCGCGTCGGCACCGCGGAAGAAGACAATAGTTCGCGTAGTACGAGTAATTTACGGGGGAAGAGGTCATTTTGCAGTTGGCAGTTTCCCGTGGTATGGCGCCGGAGGTGTCTCGGGACGGTCGGAACATTTTCATTCTGCTTCGTATCGAGCAAAAGTCAATGTACACAGGGTGTCTGAACTCGGGAGGTAACGTTCACATGCAGGTGTTATACGCTAATAGAAAATTGTAGTTCGTTTTATGGGTAGCTTCGGTATCGAACATACCTTTTAACCACAGAAATAGTCGGGAAAAGCATTTTTCTGGTAAGCGTTACTGCAGTGTCAGTGATAATAACGTTACACGCATGTTGCTGCTGCTGTAAAATTATGGTTGGGCGAGACTAACTGTAATTTTCTATCATTGTGTTATCTTGCAAACAGCCATGATAGTTTTTGAGATATTAATTAGAGGAAATTGACGAATCACCGCGCGCGATGCAACGGAACGAGCAGTCCGCAAGTCAGTCTGAAGAGGCAACATGTTTTGAACTTGTTACTGACATCCAGCAATGATGAAAATAGTCGTGCGGTCCAAGATCACGCGTGTAACATAGGACCACGCTGCTCGCCGTCCTCTCATATCTACCATTGCTAGGAGACAGTCAACATGCCCGAGCATATCTCTTCAGACTGCCCGTGAAACTCGTATCACCGTATCGTACACACTGAGAGAAAAAATATCGGAAAAAGGAAAAATATTTGGTCGGTAAGTATTAATAATGTATTTACTTCAACCTAAATTCTTTGATTTAAATACGGAGTAAAAGGTTGCTTTCGTGCGAAGATATAGGTTTAAAAGAACGTATACTTTCTCGTCTGAAAAACAATTTTTCTCGATGTACAAGCATATTGGTACGAGCAAATGTGTTGTTAGTATCTTTATAGAAAAATTATTTTATTTTTTAGATCTTTTCTTTTCTCCCAATACACGCGTTCATATATTAATTTACTTTAAATAATATCCTAATGATCATCGTGGTAATTCACGAAATAATAGAAACTCTTTCTACCCGGTTTAACGAATTTTATCTGTACACGAGCATCACACGACACTCGAGTCCAGACATCCTCTCTGTATGTACGCCATTTACCGGTCCTTTGTTGTCTCCCTAAGTTGAAATTTTGATGCTACTTTGATAATCTTAAGGATAGTTTGCGCTTAGTTAGGCCACCTATAGACTAATGTAAACTTACTTTAACGACTGACACTTCTTAACTTCTCTCTCGAACTTTCAATTCTACAGATGTAATTTTAACACTACCTTGAACAACCTATTTTGACGCTAAAACGGCGGAAACAGAAATCGAGGACTTGTCGGGGTCAGTGTTGGAGTAAATTATATTATTAGATCAAAGGAAAATACAGAAAGGTCCGTAAGAGCTGAGCGTAGATTGTTGATGCGAATAAATTCATACGAGAGAATGACGTGTTTGACGGTGTTATCGCACGCGCTGGCGGATTCGCCGGACTTTCAAACGTACGTCGGGAGTCCCCCTTCCACGTTAAATCGGTCTTGCATTCCAATTAAATCCTCAAATACCTAATTAATAATTATCTGTTTGTGCGTTAATTAACTCTCTAACGAGGTTCCTTTATGGCTCTTTCTATGTTTCCCTTTGATTCTATATCTCAAGAGTCTAATACAATCAATTTGTATTATTACGCGGAAAGAAATCTAGTCCGCATTAACCGGAAGAGGAACAATCAGATGCGTTCTGGTTGGTGGAAACAGGATTTTTGGTTCCTGTGACCCAAATATGGCTATTATAACCCAAAATTTCCTTCAACCGAAACGCATCTGACTGTTTTCTCCTGGTTGATACGACCGAACCTTTCTTTCCCGTGTAGAATTGAAATTGAATCTATTTCGCCATCTCCTACTGCGTTGTAGAATTAAAAGTTCAACGTAGGACCGACGTTTGAACCAACTCAGGTTGTCTGCGGGAATATCGAAGTGTGTACATCCGTCTGTCTATCAAACAATAACCGCGCTTCTGAGTCTCGGGAAGCTCCGTTGCTCCTCTTTTGTGCACTCCGCAGGCGACGGCGATATTCCAGCGGACCGCCCCGGGCAACGAGCGGTCCTCGCGACGGAAATAAGTTTGCAAGCGAACCTTCCGAGTGCTCGATACACCTCGCGCGACTCGCCCGGCAACTCGCCTGAGAGAACGCTGTTTCTTACAACATAATTGCCTGCCGCGCGGAATTGGTTTCGTAGCTCGTTTACGGTCGGATCGCGCGGAAACTTTACAGGCGACGACGGAGGGGCCGCGACCCGATTTCCGATATACGCCTGTTAATTCCCTGTCCGCGTGTCCCCGTAATTCACGGGCTGAAGGAACGAACGAACGGACGAAGAAAGGAGAGAGACGCGCGCGGTAGGTGTTTGAGGGCGAGCTTTATGGGCGATTACGCGAATAAGTATGATCCGATCGGCGCTCGTGATGTATTGTAAATGCCTGTTAAGTATCGACGGGACGGAGAGAGAAAGAGCAAACGAGCGTCTCGAATGGGATGCCAACGGACGCGAGACAATGGACCGTTCTTCCTCGGCGGCAACGATCACGGTTTCCGAGGGTGATGATCAACGATCACGACACGATCCATTCGCGTTCGTTCTTTCGTCGTACGTCGAATCATCGGTACGCAATCTCGCGAGGGCGTCGCTTTAACCACGAGTTTTTGCTTCCGGCGCTCCATCGTTTTTATAACCACCACGCAGGAGAAAGTGAGAGAGAGAGAGAGAGAGAGAGAGAGAGAATCTTTTGTTGCGCGCTCTGGGATTAAAATCCCTTTAAGCGCGTTAGAGAAAAGATAAGCAGTTTCTTATATAGTTGCCACAAACATCAATTAATTGGTCATAACATAAATGAAGAGAATTGTTATTTTACATAGAGCGAGCTCAGGAATAAAAGTGCGTAAGCTTTTCGTAATTACGAGAAGAAAATGAAAATGAACGCTGTACGAAACCGACCTATATATCGGGATGTCAGAAAGGAAGCCTGGAGGCCAATGCAGTAGACACTCCGCATACTAATTTACAAGCGACGTAACGTCGTGATTCAAAATTAAACTCAGTCTTAAACGAATCGTAATATGTCAATTTAATTAATATCAAACGTTACTATTGTGAACAAAATTCAAAATGATATCAGGCGTTGGAAGAGAATGTGTTAACGTCGTTCGTTAACATTTTCAATTCACACACACGGCGAATGAGTTATTATTCACAGAACGGACTTCCTGTGGCACGTAAGAAATGTTGAAATTAACGTTTGACTTTTAACTGCGCACGCTGGCATTGACGGTCCTTTGCGGACGAGGAGAGCGGGAGAAGGGAGGGAGAGAGAAAAGGGAGGGGAAGTAAGGAGAGACGTTGAGTTAGCAAGGTTGATTTTACCGTTTAAGATCCCCGGCATCAAAATTGCCACCACGGGGAGATCGCGGGGAGCAAAGGAAGCCCGGTGGTGCACGCGCGTGCGCACGGGAGAGTTAGTATCGCATCGGACTGTCGCAATTTGCACAGTCGATCCCGGAATTTCTGGCCGCTCTCTCTCTCTCTCTCTCTCTCCGGAGTCGTCCCTTTATACGCGTGTGCCGCTACCGCTGGCGGGTAGAGGAGAGAGAGAGAGAGAGAGAGGATAGAGCAGGGCGGTGGGACGCTTCCAACTATAACTTGATATCTCTTCCTCCCGCGACGCCGTTATCGCTAGGGATGTACACGTAGCATCGAGGGAGGTAAGGCTAACCCCCTCGCGCTAACTGCTTGACAAACTAAGTTAGCGTTTCTTACGATGTAATTGGCTCCACGCGGCAACGGAGAATCGCGTACCTCGCGTCCTCGTCGTCGTCGTTGTCGATGAACACGAGGGACAAGCGGGAAGACGAGATGGGGCGGAATCGTCCTCGTGACGATTCCCACGTCGATACCGAGGAATCTTCGCGCCGCCTCACGAGACGAAAGAGGGTGAGAGATAGAGCGAGAGAAGAGGGCGGCTGAGTGGGTGGGTCGGAGACGCGTGCGGCAAATTGTACGTTCATTTGCGTGGGATTCGAGCGACGCATGCGAGCGGGGGAGGGATAATTACGGGAATGCGCGTGTTAACGATCGGAAGGCGAGAAATCGCGAGCGAGACGACCGCGAGCCCGGGCGGCAATCTCGACTCGTTTAATCCGCGCGTCACGAAACACGCGTGTCGCTTTGATCCCCGGCGTATCCGAAGAGGCCGGTTGCGGAGTCGCGACTCTTCGGAGGACACGCGCGACTTGATTCCCTTTCGTCTCTCTGCGGCAAAAGTCGCTTGTGAGGGGTCGTCGTGAAATTACGCGCGAGTGATTCTCGCGGGGCACGAGAGGGAGTTTCGTTGGTGATGAATCCGCTTAGAAAAGAGAGAGAGAGAGAGAGAAGGGAAAAGGAAGGATCACGTTCGGAAATAAGTTCACGCGACTTGCTGCGAAAGGTGTTCGCGCGATCGTATCTCCTTTACCAGTTCGCGAAAGCGCCCACGACGGTCCGGCAGTTCATCGTCGTCGGATCGTCCATCAAAGTTCCCAGCAAGTTTGCCTCTCGCGTCACAACATTGTCGTCCTTTCTCTCCGCCGCCACTCCCGGCCGCCGCTTTCTCGGCTTTTCCTTTTCCCGATAAGGAAAAGAATCGTCCGGGATCTACTGTGGTAAACCAGTGCGATTCTTTTCTCTCTCTCTCTCTCTCTCTCTCTCATTCCCCTTCGAACTCTTGCTTCTTCGCCTTACACCACCTCCGCGCCCCCGAACTTCCTTTCTGTCTTACTCCCCACCGCCGTTTTTATCCTTTCTCCCTCCTCCCTTCTCCCCGTACCGATCCTTCTTTCCTTCCATCTATACGCTTCGGCGATAATAACCGACGAACCAACGGTGCAAGTCTTCAATCTCGTCTGGCAAATGGCCGATCTCGAGACGCGGTACGTTTGCCAGACGGGACAAAAGAAGAAGTCCTTCGATGTGTGCCCGCAGCTGCGAGCCCGCGGAAATTTTCCGCTGGATAAGACCATATTGTTCGCCGCGGCTCCTCTTCTCGATGCCGCGTTGCTTCTTCGATTTTTTTCTCTCCCCCCTCTCCCCCCCCCATTTTCACCTTCTTCCTCAGCGCGTCACCGTTTCTCGTTTTCCTCCGGATGCGTTCCTGTTCGATGTCGTTTCCATCGCTCACCGCGAAAATTTCACGCGTAGAAGAGAGATTTATAAGCGACGACACGTGAAAGTGGTCCATTTGCATCTCCCTCGCAAGCACGTGGCGGCGTTATCGAGCGGCGCATTCTCTTCTTAAGACGCCCGCGATATCGCGCGCGATAAGTTCTCGACGGACAAATTGAGGTTCCNGGGGGGGGGGGGGGGAGGGCTGTACGTCATGTTCGGCGGCTCTCGCGAAAAGGGAGGGCCTCGGCGAGCCGATACTTCCGGCGTGCGATTCCGAAGTGGATAACATAGATCTTCCTCGTGCCGCGCGACCCTTCCGCGCGCGGAAGCTACGACTTAATATCGCACGACTTAATATCGACCGATTTATTCTCCGCGGAGAGAAACTCGACGAAACTCCAGCGGCGGACTTTTCATCCGGCGGCGCATTCGAATGAGCTGGTCGAGATGCTCTCCCCGACTTCACGAATTTCTCTGTCTCTCTCTCTCTCTCTCTTTCTCTTTCCCTTTCCATTTTCAATTTCACATC